TGTTTGATTCTCAGTTGTTTAGTTACCTTAATTTACCTTTAATTTTTGTTTTTATTTTACCTGTAGAAGGGCATTGCCCGAAAGCTTGTAATTTTTTACAATTAAAAGAAACTCATCTTCTGAAACTTCTTACTTGACATATCTGCAAAAAAAAAAAAAAAGGTTTCTAGAGATGTGTTTGAAGTTTGATTCATCTCCAGAGAAAAACCTGTTGCATTATTTAATTTAAAACTACATAATAATTTCTATGAAAAATAGACACTTCGGCCAGTTAGAGTTTTTTATTTTCTCAACGTTTCGACAAAAATCTTTTGTCTTCGTCAGGGGAAGTAAATAAAAAATAAAGAATTTGGCAAGGCGTTAAAAATTGTTCTGAGGTTGCAAGGGCGTTCTCACGTGATTAACTTGCTGAATTGTCTATTTTTCCTAGAAATATGGATGCCGGCCAGGCAACCTCTATCTTCAGGATACATAGTAATTATTTTCTAAATTAATCATTACCTCATCATTGTTAATTACTCATTATCATTGATGATGAATAAATCAGTTATCAAAATTGAAACTATTTTAGACGCGTAAGATTCTTTTTGAAATTAAACAATTTCTACTGCCCTTACTGCAATGGAAAAATTAATGAGAGGGCCTGGATTATCAGTGGTGAACCCTTTTAGCGGTTTCGCCAGTTTAATCTACCATACCGCTGTTATATTGCATTTTTGGAACTTCCTTTTATAGTGATACTGTTGGTAGACTCTTTGAATGGGTATTTTAGATGAACTATGGACATAAGCTTTGAGGACAGAAGAATTACATGCAATTATAAATATATAAATATAAATAAATAAATAAATCAGTGATGATTGTGTACTTTGAGATTGTATAAAGACAAGCTGTTAAATACACATCAATATAAATTGACAACTGGCTCCATTATAAAATACGACAGACTCGAGGGAAATATGGAAATAAGCACAGGGTTAGGAGACGATGACCTTGTCCATTTGGTTCAACAAGACTGCCATCTATTCTGGCGTTGTATTATCCTTCATTTTGTACATCTGTAGAAGGACTGAAATACCCCGAAAGATTGATAATGAAATAGAAAATGAAATTAAACTCATCTTCAGAAATCTATTGTATTAGTTTATTACAATATGTTTTATAATACAATATAATGCGGCTTATGATTGTAGAACGACATTTGAAAATTATCCCGCATATGTTTCTTTTGAACGAAAAAAATCGAAATTTATTTTAAGGAGAAATAACGATTATTTCTAAACTTGGGGATGAAGTATGAAAGGATGAATTCCCATCCCTGGACACTTTTATTTTTCCGTTCATCATTACTCTTCACAATTCATCCTTTCATATTTCATCCCTAAGGTTAGAAATAATCGTTATTTCTCCTTAAAATAAATTTCGATTTTTCGTTCAAAAGAAACACATGCGGGATAATTTTCAAATGTCGTTTTACAATATGTTTTATTGGATGATGTAGTAAAACATTGTGTAGAGGATACAGCAAAAAACATGTGTTGAAGTGACCAGGTGCCGTACCTTGTGGTGTTAGCACAGCTAGGGCCCTGGGAATGAAGGATTGTTGGAGAAGCTCGTGGCCTAGAGAAACTGAATATTACTTCAGAAAATTCAATATAATATTATATATATATATGAACAAATATTACAAATATAATATTGTACTGGGATAAGATGCATAAATTAACAGAAAAAAAAAGGCATCTCCTTATCGTGCAACTGAAAGTTACTGATGGCTTGCACCATCTATCGGAATAAATATCAACTATTCGTTGATTTTTAATTATTCCAGAATTAGCCAAATACCTGTGGGATGGTTGCGTGATGTGTTGGTGTGGCTTGTGGAAAGGCCGCTGAAGCAAAGTGTGTTCGCCACATACCCATTCTTTATTAATCAAGAATCATTTAGAATTTTCTAAATTAACATTCAGTTATATATATATAACACTAGCCGAATGACCCGGGCAACGCCCGGGTTTTACCCGATTAAATGCTTTTATTCAAATACTATTCGTTACAATTATAAATTGGCGCCTTGGATGTCATTCTTGTATCTATTCTATATACAGTTACGAGCGTCATGCGTTCTTAATAATTCTTCATCTCTGTCACCGTTTGCTTTTTTTTTTGGAATGGCGCTCTCCTATTGGTTGGCTACGATCACGCCACCTTTGCCTCCCCCCCCACTCGCTTCTTCGTTTTTGTAACTATTGTGTTGGAGCGGGTCGCTCCTTAAATAAATGCATATATTAGTTAATAACTAAATGGAATCCTCTCTTTCTTTTCCCCAGTAAGAGACGCTATAGTTATTAACTAACATATGCATTTATTTAAGGCGCCAATTTATAATTGTAACAAATAGTATTTGAATCAAAACATTCAATCGGATAAAACACGGGCGTTGCCCGGGTCATTCGGCTAGTCTATATATATATATAAAATTGAATGTCTGTCTGTCTGTGTGTACTCTATAGATTCAAAAACCATTCATCCAATCGCCGTGAAATTTTGGCATATTATTAGGTATATCCCCGGGAAGGTTTTTGAAAAATAATTTCTTGATTATCCCGAATATCCTTAGAGTTATTTGCAGATTTGTAGATTTACCAGGTCTATTAGTATGAAACGCGAAAATTTTCAGTGAATTCAAAAGTTCACCAATTCCATACAACAAAAGATTTTTTATTCAAAGTAACTGCCCTGATTAGCTATACACTCGGACCACTTTTCAGGCAATTTTCGAATTCCTTGTCTGAAAATTTCTATTCCTTTTGAGTCGAACCAGTCAACAAGTCATTTTCGGAGTATGTCTGAGTTCGAAAATTCCTGGTTTTTTAGGGCGTGTCCTAAAGATGTGAAAAGGTGGTAGTTCGATGGCGCTAAGTCTGGTGAGTACGGCGGGTGGGGTTAGAGTTCCCAGCCCAAGTCTTTTATGGTGTTTTGACCACCGTAGCGTTGTGGGCTGGAGCGTTGTCATGCTGCAGTATCAGATTGTTGTGCTTTTCACGCCATTCCGGTCTTTTTTCATTCAACGCCTCTCTCAAACTGTGCATTTGTTGTTCGTAGCGACTAGTATTGACCATTTTTCCAGGTTTCAGGAGCTCGAAATATACTACGCCGGTCTGGTCCCACCATATGCAAAGCATTGCCTTTTTTTCCGAAGCGATTGGGCCTAGGCGTCTGTTTTGGAAATTAGCCGGGCAGGCCCCACGACTTTTGGCACGTAGGATTGCTGAAGTGGATCCATTTCTCATCAGAAGTTACGATTCGGTGCAAAAAATGACTTCTTTTCATGCCTGGCGAGCAGCCCTTCGCAGGTTACCAGACGCCGTTATTGCTGCCTTTCGCTCAACTCGTGGGGGGACCCATCTGGAAAGCTTTTGGGTCATTCCGAGGCTGTTTAAACGTAGAGAAACAGCACCTTGAGACACCTGGAGCTGTTTTGCGAGTTTCTCCTGCATTTGGGTACTGTCCTCATCCAACAAAGCTTGCAGTTCAGCGTCCTCGAACTTTTGGGGCGGTTTTCCATGTGGTTCATTATCAAGTTCAAAATCGCCACTTTGGAATTTTTAAAACCACCTGTAAACACTGCGATTTGCTCAGAGCGTGGTCGCTGTAAACTTCCTCGAGCATTCAGTGGGCTTCAGTGGCACTTTTCTTCCAGTTGAAGGCGAACAACAAAACTTCCCGCAAATGGGCACTTTTTGGCTCGGAAATCGCCATTTTCCACGGGCTCCAGAAATTTTTCACGATTTGAATTTTTCTAAAACTGCACGCAGGCTGATGCCACATGAGTCAAAGAACAAAACGCCTACAACAGCGCCACCGTCGGCTCAAATAAAGTTGCACAGCGGCCTCTGGCGCCCATTTTGGCGTTTCATACTAATAGACCTGGTAACTCGCAAGCAGCGACGATGATAACAAGTTTTTTAATCTATAAGTTTTATTATCACTAAGTTTATTATCTCAAAGATTATTTATCAAAAGTAAGATTTTCTACCTATTAATTGCGCACAAGTCAAAGTTAGTTTTATCATTTATCTACAACATATATATTGGGAGAATAGATAAAATGATGATTTTGTAATGTAGAAAATTAGGAAAGACAAAATTCAGACGACACGGCAATTTATTTGAAACAAGAATAATGATAATTAATATTGATTTTATTCAACTTATCGAGTATTTTTCAAGGGACCGGGAAAAAAATGTTCACTTTATCGAGAGATTCAAATTTACGAGTTTCAAATTATCAAAATATATCTATTATTTTTTACTTATGTTATATTCAAATGACATTTATGTAGGGATAATTTTATTGTTAAGTTTCATTTTGATGTATTGTATACATTTGATCATTAATAAATTATTATTTAGGTATTAAAACTGCCTTTTTGTTCAAAGACAGCAACGTTTGAACGGGTACAGCTAGGTGGAGCAGATAATCAAACATAAAGTTATCTTGCCAAGTATAGATTCAGTAGGGATTGGATGTTTTCTAGAATTGATTTAACTAATGTTCGTTAGGTAAACTTTCACTAGGGTAAAACCCGGGCGAAGCCGGGTACATCCGCTAGTATATATATAAAAATGAATGTATGTGTGTGTCCTTTATGCTTGACCAAACCACTCATTGGAACGCCATGAAACTTTGGGAAGTTATTTAGTATAGCACTGGGAAGGTTTCTAGCAAATACAATTTTTGAAATAACTTTTCGCCTAAAAATAATCAAGATAAATATTCTAATTTATCTGTTATAATTCAACAATCTGCTCTAAATATTATCATGATGATACGATGATTTTGTAATGTAGAAAATTAGGAAAGACAAAATTCAGGATGACACGGCAATTTATTTGAGACAAGAATAATGATACAATTCCAAGGCAAGATACTATTCCTTTAACTTCCAATTACCGAGGGAACCAATTAATATTTATTTTATTCAACTTATCGAGTATTTTTAAAGGGACCGGGAATCGAACACGGGTCGCCCGCGTGACAGGCGAGCATTCTAACACTGAACCACCGATGGTTATGAGAAATGGCCATATTTGGGTATTTATTCCATTCACAAAGCAAACGGTGACAGAATTGATTAAGAATTGTTGCTTGATTATGACGCTGATAACTGTATATATAATAAATATAAAGTTATGGGAGGATGAAATTCACATGTACCATATGTGGTACCTCTCCCTTTAAAAAAACGCATTAAAACAGTACATTTTAACTTCTTGCAACACTACAAGTCGTAAAGTTGTGGTGCTAACAAATGAACCAAGGCACCAATTTCGGAAAATCCAGATACAAAGCTAACAACCTGTATACCGTGGTTTCGATCTATGGCCTTCATCAGTACAAGGATAATTGATTCGATCTATAACACCTAATTCAACTGTATTCACTAATGTGACATTTTGATGACCATCTCCTGAAACCAGAGTGGAAGATATGTAGAATATTGTTTAAAATACTTTTCTGTTGTTGTTGTTTCTTATCCCCTTGTGTTAAGATTACACGAATTCCATGGAATGGGGTGCAGCTTTCGTTGATCATGGCACCATGATCCAGGCACACTTTGGTGAAAGTCTGACTTTGCCTGTAATTTAAATACTTTTCTGTAAAAATTATTTTTAAACACACCAACGTTGTATAACTACGTATCAGAAAGTGGGCACCTCTCCCTTCAAAAGTGAATTAGACCATAGCACTTATTTTTAACACACATTACAGAAAGAGAATGTGTAAAAAATAATTTAAAAATAAAATAAGTTAAAAAGTCTGCACCACGCTGACGAGGGGCAACAGTCCGAAACGCGTTCGTGGTTAGCTTTTCTTGATTTATAAAGAAAGTGGGTTGTCCAAATATCAGGGAACAGGTTAAATCAACGTTTAGTTTAGTATCTTCTCCATCAGAGCCTCCCTGACCGTAGCCTTCCCTGACCACAGTAGCCTCCCTGTACACTGCAGCCTTTCTAACTTTGGTAGCCTCCCTGACCACAGTAGCCTCCCTGTACACTGCAGCCTTCCTAACTTTGGTAGCCTCCCTGACCGTTGCCTTCCCAGCCCACAGTAGCTTCCCTGAACAATGCAGCCTTCCCTGTTCACAGTAGCCTCCCTGAACACTGCAGCTTTTTCAACTCTGGTAGCCTCTCTGACCGTTGCCTTCCCAGCCCACAGTAGCCTCCCTGAACAATGCAGCCTCTTGACAACAGTAGCCTCCCTGAACAATGCAGCCTCCCAGCCCACAGTAGCCTCCCTGACCGCCGTAATCTTCTTGGATAATGCAGCCTACCTGACCACTAAGAGCATTCCTGACTAAAGTAGCCTCCAATATCGCCGTAACATCCCTGTGACCACTGTAGCCTCGCTATCCATTACCGTAGACCCCATAGTGACAGCTGAGACAATAAAAAACAACGACGTACAGTACCTATACAGTACCTATACAGTACCAAAGTATCATCTTCCCAAACAACAAAGAAGCTCCTGAAAGGAATCACCAGTGTATAGTGCTTCCTTACAAACAGGTTTAAATTCTTGTAGCCAATCTCCATGTAGCTATTCCAAATAGCCACTTGTCCAACTTGTGGTTGACCCTATTAGTGACCTGTCCCCCGCACAGGGGTTCCAGGTCAAGGTCCGAGCAGTTATATATATAGGACCTATTCTTGTGGAACCACCAGTACCACTGCTACCATGAAACTGGTAAGTCACCTACAGCTCCAGTGGACAACTTAACTTAACTTCTCTTAATGTTCTCTCTTTTGAAAAGAATAGTAAATATATATTATATAAAAACGATATATTAAATAATTTACATAACAAATTTGGCATAAAATACATAATTTAAAACGACCTTATAAAATAATGAGAAAAATTACAATGAGGGGTACTGCTCATATATTAAATAATTTACATAACAAATTGGGCATAAAATATACATAATTTAAAACGACCTTATAAAATAATGCGAAAAATTATAATGAGGGGTACTGCTAATCAGTGCAGTAAAGAGCCCTCCCAGCGGTTTTCGGCAGTTGAATCTCTAGATGTAATATCTCTCAGGGAAGTTCTGCAACCAATGAACGATGCCCTGCTTCTATAATTTAAGTATATGATCTGTAGAAATACTCATTTCAAGTCATTATATTTACATATTTTCAATTATTTCGGCCATATATGGGGTTCTTATGATATATATTATCATCAAATATATTTTTCAAAATAATTACAAAATTTGACGATAGATGGCATTGGAATCAATATTACTATATAAAAAAGATAGTATACACGAGGCTGTTAAAGAATAAACATTTTTTTTTCCGAATATTTCGAAGGGTTTCTCCCCCCCATTTTTGTTAATCAATTTTTTTACAGAAAAAGTAATTTTGTAAATCGGGTAGATGACATGTAAACAAATTTGTCCTTACTTTTATTTATAACTCAAGAAATAATATTAATATATATTTTTCTGTAGAAATTTTTTAAAGTAGCGTATATAAAATCCTTCACAATTTTCAATGAATGATATTATTTTGAAAACTTCTCATGAAAATATAAATTCTAGAATTTTGTTTCATATAGTCTAAAAAAACAGTATTACTTATTATCCAGAAAACCTTTTTTTTAATATTAGTTTTTTAGATATAGCGGAAATAAACAGATCTGGATAGTTATAAAAAAGTCGGTGGACGAGTGGGTAACACCCTCGATTCCCGACAGTCATGAACCGGGATTGAATCCCGCGTTAACATTTTGTTTAATATGTGAATAACCTTCACATATTATTCATTGTTTCAATTATCATAAACTAGGTTGTTCTTGAAGAGCGGTACCTAATAAAGTGATTTTGGAACCGAATCTGGGTAGTTTATACTGTATTTTGGGGTACAAGTTTCCTGGTTCAGAAATGTTGCAAAACATTTTTAAAAAAAAGGTCAATTGTCAAAATTTAATTACTCAACCTTCACTTCTTGTAAAACGGCGGTGTCCAACGTTGTCCAGTGTCTTTGTCATCTCCTAGTTATACTTTCTTTATCCGCGTGAAATATGACATGTTGTGTTTGTAGTTTGTCGTTGTACTTGCTCTCGCCGTGGGATACTCCCAGGGCTGGGGTGGCCATGGAGGCTACGGCGGTGGTCTGGGAGGTGGACTGGGCGGTGGTCTGGGAGGTGGCCACGGAATCCTAGTTGGAGGTGGTCTGGGTGGTGGTCACGGACACGGAGTCCTAGTTGGTGGACTAGGTGGCCACGGAGGTCTTGGCGGAGGTCTGGGCGGTGGACTCGGAGGTGGCCTGGAGGCTACGGCGGCCACCACCAGCAGGTCAGCGGCCACCACGGCAACCAGTTCAACGACCAAGGATTCCACCACGGCGGCCATGGAAGCCACGGCATGTCTGAGTTCGGAGACCACGGCCACCACAGCGACTCCGCCCACGGTGGACACGGCCACCACCACAAGTCCGCCTTCAACGACCACGATTCCCACGGCTCCAACCACGGCGGCCACAAGCACTACCACGGCGAGGGCGGCTACAGCCACGACAAGGGAGCGGGCTACGAGAAGGCCTACCACTACGACAAGAAGGCCGGCTACCACCACGAGAACGGAGACCAGGGACACTTCCACAAGGACTTCAAGCACTCCGACAAGCACGGACTCCTGGACACTGGCAACTTCGGTCACCACCACCACGACAACCACGGCAGCCACGGCAAGTTCGGCCACCACGACCACAATGACCACAGCTACGACCACCATGGGTTCAAGAAGCATGGCGGCAGCCACCATGACTTCCACGGTCTGCACCACTAGGTAGGTTTCCTCTACAATCCCACCATCTCTGTCTGACCTTGGATGTTTCAGAGCCTCGGGTCTCTCCACTACTGTAAATTAAAATATTGTGTTGTTAATAAATTATTTTGTTTTTACCTCATAAACCTCTCGTGTTCTATGTATTTGTTACAAATTAGGATATGTTCATTCCTGAGATTGATCACCTTAAAGTGTTCTTGTGATAAACAAAGAAAAAGTGAAGAAATAAAAGGATAAGATGGTTGTAAAATCAAAACATTATTTACCTTATGAAGCTGGGAGTTTCAACATATGGCTAACATATATGCACATACATATATGTAATTTAACTTCATGCAATTACATTACTCCACTTACTACTGGATGGTCAGTCTAGTGTTTGTACATTGGTCTACCAAACACATTTGCTATGTAGTTTAATTGTTGATTTAGAGAAACTCTGTTTATGTGTAAACCTTTGAACCATAGTCAAAAAAGACATTTTCCATATATGTAAAAATACTTATATTTTATATTATATTGCCAAACCACGTTCTGACGTTTGAGGCCAAAAACTTAATATGTACACTGTGTGACAAGGAAATTACTGAAGAACTCCCCCATTGAATTGTACAGCCCTTGATGCCGAGAGGAAGGCCCTATATCAGCAAATTAAATGTACCAACACCTCACCCTACGTATTGCTTTCCAAAATATCAGCAAACAAATCTAAGGCAATAGCTTACTATACATTTTTTAGATCATCATTATGTAAGGACCAGTCAACAAGTGAATGACTTTGAGACGAAGAGTAAAGCCAGTTCAATTTCCATCTTACTACCTATGTAAATAACATAAGATTACCTTACCCAATTGGGAGAATCTGTATGGGGCAAGTCCCTAATAAAGGCTTTGTGTGTGTGTTATATTATATTGCCACGTGGAAAATTAGGAAGACAAACTTCAGACAAACACAGTAATTTATTTGAGACAAGAACAAACTATGAATGATAAACAAAAGATAAGCAATGAGGGAAGTTTATAGAGTAGCAAAATATAAACATAAAAAATGATACTCTGTTATTAAAAATAATAAATACGCTGCTACCATATTTTTATCAACACAAATGAAAATCCTCACATATATACAAAATTAAATACAATACGATTTACTATATAATGGGAAATCTTTCAAAAGTATAGTCATAGTTTTTATTTTGAAAACGAAACTT